GAATCAAACTTAAAAGGTCACGAATCGCTTCTAAACTCAACTCCTTTTCCTGTGCCTCATCACAAAAGGACAGGAGGTTTCCAAAAAGTAACTGAAAAGCACACTCGCATTACTTTCATTCTCCTCTTTCTGCAACGTGATCCTGGGAAGGTGTGATCAGTTGGAAATACCCTGTGTGGAGGCACATTTGAGCTAATGTGGGATCTATGGCTCCGGTTTGAAATAGAGTTTGGTTGTATCTTGTATATTGATTAGCATTTTCACCAGAGACATACTGGAGAGATGGAAGTCATACTAATATTTGCTGAAGTGTGCTTTAGACCGGATAGTTAGTTTCACTACTTCAAACAACATGTGCTATATGGCTGTATTACAGATAGTTAATTAGTCTGCCATACATTCATCTGATCTTAGTTAGTGTCAGTTGTTAAATGTAAAACTCCATAGACATGCCTGCTTGCCCTTTTCTTTTGGATTCAGAGTTGTACAGAGTGATTTCAAACCAGGATGATGTTGGACCTGTAGTGAGCCTGATGGATCTGAATGTACAGAAATCAAAAGTGGATCAGAGAACATAGGCATTCTTAAAAAAAAACAGAGTTTCTCCCATCAGCCCGGGGGGGGGGGGTTGAATGTTAGCTGGGGGTTAGCGTCCAGCAGGATGCAGACGTTTTAACTGTCGCTACCTTGTGTGATGCTCAGCAGGCAGTGAGAAGATATGTGAATGTTTTCATGTGTTCAAAATGTTTGTGATCCACTGAAACAGAACCAATCTGCGCACTATGCAGATCCCCCACTCTCCCTTCGCTGCCTACAGATGTTTATTTATTCATTAACTCATTTTTTTTTTTTGAATCTTGCCCATCAGAGCCTCTGTTATCAGTTAGGCTTCACCCTGATGAGAACTTGATGTTGAGTTTTTACTTTTAAGCCATTCATATTGGACTTCTTGTTTTACTTTACATTTGTGCAGTATTGTACTTGAGTGCTGAAAATACAGTATATCTGAGTTGAGAATTGTAATAAAATAGCACATTATGATGCAATGGTGCAACAGGGGACTAATGATATTAGTGTCTTTTTTAAAAGCAAGACTTTTGTGTTTTGGTAAATATCATACATTTGGTTTTCAGCATTATTTGCATCTGCTGGGCGATACATTGATGATACACTCAGCTCTGGTAAACATGACGACCTTCAGATCGTTCTCTTTCCTGCTCTGTTATTCAAGGTCGACAGAATGACTGCCTTTGTGTTTCAGGTTGTCTTCAGAAAATGTCCTGAAACAAGTGAATGATGATGCTACCCATTGCAACTTGAATTCTAAATTGACAAAAAACATGTTTACCGCGCTTTTTATTTTATTTGTTCCTTTTGCCCCCCCCCCCCCTTTCTCGTCCTTACAATAACAAATGAATTAAGTTTGACTCCAGATAACCACGTGATTGACACAACCTCAAAATTGTAAATGCAAACCTGCTGAGAAGCTCCATAGTCCCACATCCGTATTCACAGCACACACAGCATGGTTTTTTATGGAAACTATGTATTTGTTACCTAGTGTGTGAGGGTTGAAAGTCAAAAGGTTTTTTCTGTCTTTGTTCTGAAAAGTCCATCCCTGGTCCTATTTTTATCACCCCCTTTGCCCCCCTCTTGTTTTTTCTTTGCATTGTGAAGTGGGCATGCTTGTCAAAAAGACAAATGCTCTCTATTAATTGGCTTATAACCTCATAAATAGTTGTGTATAAAATAAACTGTTATAACTTCTTTTTTAATAAAACATTCAATGTGTATAAAAGGTCTTTGTCTGAGCTGATGATTCTGATCCTATATAGCCAAACTCCTCCAGCGCTACACCCCAGCCAGAGCTTTAAGGTCTGCTGACCAGTTGCTGTTGATAGTGCCTAAGACCAGGCTTAAAACCCGAGGGCACCGAGCATTCGCAGCAGCGGGCCCCAGGCTCTGGAACACTTTGCCCCTCCATGTGAGGTCGGCCCAGACCCTAGGGGTTTTTAAATCAAAACTTAAAACTTACTTCCTCTCTCTGGCCTTCACTTAAATCCTAAAATGTGGATCTTATATTGAAAAATAAGAGGGAAACAGGTTTGCAGAGAAGCTCATCTAGGCAGGGGAGTGTTATGATTGTTTTTCACAGCTTCCTCCCTACCTCTGCTAAATTCCAACTGAGGCTCCAGTGGGGCCTTTGTTCCCTGCGTGTGCCTCTCCACCTCTGTTTCTAGTTTCTACTCTCTTAATTGCTACCCTTTTCCCTTAAAGGGGACCTATCATGCAAAATGCACTTTTGTACGTCTTTTATACATGAATATGTGTCCCCGGTGTTCCAGGGAACTCACCAAGTGTCAGAAAACACAACCCTCTCTATTTTCCTCCATACCCAAATCTCTAAAAAAGGGGCTGCAACGGATCTGATAAAAACTGATCCAGATTTGAACACTGTCCTGACGTCAGGATGGTGGCGCTACGGCTATTGGGCCAACTCCACCAATCAGGAGGAGACAGCCACGGCCATTGCCGTTCGAAAGCGCTGGAGACGCTGTAGTACATATGCCAGGCCAGTAGATGGTGCTGTTCTCACTGAATCTGCCCTTGCAGAGCAGAGCTAAAAAAAAGTGCAAATTGAGCGAAATGAGGCATGGCTAAAATGCATGATCTGTTTGGTATTTTGAAAAGAAAAAAGTATAAATATGCCATATATAGGTATGGTCCTACACTATATTATTCAAATATAGCATGATAGGTCCACTTTAACCTATCCTAAGGGAGTGCTTGTTTTTCCGTCTGTCTGTTTCTCCCATTTTTCCCTTTGAAATGTGGGTTTTTCTCTGGAAGTTTTTCCTTGTACGATGTGAGGGTCTAAGGACGGAGGGTGTCGTTTTTCTCATTCTGATATTCTGAACAAACTGTGCTGTTGTATTTGCTGTAAAGTGTCTTTACTGTAGGGTATTTTTATTATATGTACAGCACTTTGGCTCGACCAAAAATCGTTTAAAAATGTGCTATATAAATATAACTTGATTTGATTTGATTTGGCTGTGACTCCTGATACTCTGATCTGTTAGCAGTGACCCTAAGCGGATGTCTAATCCCATTCACTATACATATCCATCAGAACTGTGAAGACCCTGCTTCTTTTATTTAGTAAACTTGCTTTTAAATCTCATTTTAGAGTTTCAATGGTCTGAATTGGAATGCCACATCTGCTGAGTGTCTGCGTGCGCATCTCTCCCAGATGAGCTGAACAGTTTTTTTGCTCGCTTCGAGAGCAGCCAGACTGGGGGTGCAGAGAAGGATCAGGAGCCCTGAACACATATGTGAGAATGCTGTTCATTGACTACAGTTCAGCCTTCAACACCATTGTGCCATCCAAGCTGGTCATCAAGCTCAGAGACCTCGGGCTCAACAGCGCCCTCTGTGACTGGATCCTGAACTTCCTGACGGGCAGACCCCAGGCAGTGTGGGTGGGAAACATCACATCCTCCACCCTGATCCTCAACACCGGAGCCCCTCAAGGCTGCGTGCTGCTATGAGGTGTGATTTGTGCCAAAGAACAGATAACTAAGCTAACTGAGCGGAGAACTGACGTGTCAACGTGCGCCAACGCCTCCATCAATTTTGAATGGGTTGACGTAGATTTTGATAATTAAAAATATATATTCTTGTCTGTGGTTGTTTTTGCATTCAGGGCATACAAGAGGTGTAACATTATTTTAATACCAAAACTATATTGAAATAGAGTCTAGCTTGAACAGCAACATAGCTGTGACATTATTGGGTTATTTGGTGATAACTAAGTAAAGTAACTTCAGACGCAGACGTCACGTAGCTTCTCAGACGAGAGGGGTGGCGACGAGAGTGTCACGTTACTTCTCTCGCGGCATAGTTCACGCAGGGCTGCCAACATTTGAGTTCAGCTTGGAGTGAGATTTTTTTTTTTTGGTGAACCGAAAAAAGAAACGTCCATGTGTACAGTGTTACAAATGTATTGAACAAGTACAAACTAGGGTTTCCCATTAATGTACCGGGCGCTACAGTGGAGTACGCACATACACAGTGTACCCGCTACTCTTACAATGAAGGCTCGATAATCAGCTCACAGCATATAAAATGGCATATAGGTGTAAGCAGGGGTAAAGTGCTATTTTATAAGTGGGGGTGGTCCTCACCTCCTCTAGGGGGGTCCGGGGGCATGCTCCCCCGGGAAGATTTCTTTTTAAAATATTGAAGTTAAATGCATCAATCTGGTGCACTTTGAGAGCAAAATGAATTTAAGGATACATCTCTCAACACCCATATGAAACACAACTTTAAACAGATTTTCTTTTTCTTTATGGATATTTTACAAATCACTCACCTTTTAAACTGTATTCTTGTTTTACTGTCATATAGTATTTCATAACTGTTTTTCATTTATTCTCATAAATGGTGACCAAACCGTTTGAAAATGTTGTGCTTAATAAGCACAACATTTTCAATGTCAATATCCAAGTTGCTTGCTGCATATCTTGTTGCATTGTGCAGAATATGGGCTAAACAGTTTGCAGCGAGCACGTCTTTTTGAGCCAGTTTCAGTTTCTGATAAACACTGTTGTTTTCCATAGTTAACGCTGGCGTTGTCTGCTGCATATGCGGACATTTTTTTCACATAGTCCAGACATCTCCAGTTTAGATAGCAGCTGATTTGTTATAGCTTCTGACTTTTCGTTGCTATCACTGTAAAAATCCAACAGTGCATGTTGCACGCCCTCCTCAAAGTGAAAATATCTCAGTACAGTATTGGGGAAACACTTGATCGTACCTTTGTTTGATGCATCACTTGCCACTGAATAATGCAGTTCATTTTCTTTTATATAATCCACATGCGTCTGGACAGAGTAGGGTGCTAGGACATTTTCGGGGGTTAGTCACCACAAAAAAAAAATACAAAAAAAGAAACGTTCATGTGTACAGTGTTACACATTTATTGAACATGTACAAACTATTTACATTAAAAAAATATTTACATACATAACTTGACAGGAATTAACTTGATTCAATTAGAGGTAGTTTCCATAAACCTATATTGTGCTCTGGCTGTGGTCTGGTCTGTTGTAACTGCTGGTGGCAGATTTTGCAGCCTTTAGCATTGATTGGGTTGGCTCTCACTTAAAGCATGGCTCCAAGTCTGCCATCTTTATTGTCATGAGAGACGACAGTGTCCCCTCCAGGGCCAGGCTGTTCCTTGTTTTTGTTTTGTTTAGTCCCACCACAGAAAACACTCGCTCTGCGTCAGCATTTGAGTGTGGCAAGACTAACACAAGTTTGGCAACAGTGGAGAGTCTATCAAACCTGCCCACACCTGTCACCTGTAAAACATGAACAACAGGGTTAAGTTGCACAATGAATACACACATGTCACTCGAAATTAGTCCACATTGTGGAATGAGACACACTTAGATATCTGACCTTGTGTTTTAAACTTGCCATGTTGGCCCAGAAGCCCTCAATATCTGGGTCTGCTTCCAATATTGGCACAGGCATGGTCTGGTAGTCCAGGAACTCCTCCCCCAATGAGTCATGATCTTGTGGGCTGTGGTAGGGGAGAAGGTGGGCATACCTTTTTTGAAGAGAAACAAAGGTAGAGTTACAAACTTCTATTCACTTTGAGATATACTTCAAAGGTAAGGGTGAAACTGAGTAGTTGGTATATTTGTTTATATTGGTTGTTAATTTCTGAAGAATTAGAAAATAAATGAATATATACATTTTACCTGTCAACAAAGTAGAGGGCATCCTCCACCCCACATTCTGCCCTCTGCCTCACATCAAGAAACCTGGCATGCTTCAGCAAGGGCTCACTTAGAGGCAGCCTTTGTAGAGCATACTCTACAGCTTTCACAAAGAAGTTGAGGGATGCGGTGTGGAATAACTCCACTTTCTGGGCGGTGATGTCCCCAGCATCCAGGAGATGATTGAGCCTCACCCTGGTGATGAAGCCGACATTCAGTTTGTATCCTGTTAGAGATGCAGAAAACACAATCAAATCCAATGTACTTTCATAAAAGCACTTACATACACACCTTTCCGTGAGCTTCATTATAGCATTTGAATGATTACTCATGTAATTCCAAAAGACAATTACACATATAAATACTGTACTATACAAAGGTCTGAACATGCCCAGTTGTTGAAGGCTTTTTTTCTCTGTGTCAAATCATGAAACAATCAGTCTAGAACTAATCCCATTATTGTATTCATATATAAACTTCAATATAATTAGATTTAATGTGAAGTGTGTCCAGACTTTTGACTGTTACCATATATACACACACACTTCATCTTACTTTACTTTTCACTAAATTACAATTACCAGGCAGATGGTTCTCCTTATCCACATATGGGATGTCCTGAGGCTTAAGGTGGGTCTGCAGTACTGTGGGCAAGAGGAACTTGGAGCAGAGCTTGCGGATGAATGTAATCATCTGAAATATATTTAAGAAAGTATTACATCTTACCCGAATATTACATTAACAAAATACTGGAATGCAGGCTTAAATCACTTCCTCTAGATATACCTCATCTTGCAATAAAAATATAGATGGATGTTGTCTCTGGAAGAGGAGATTCAGAGAGGTGAAGGCTGGTATGGTTGCTTGGTAGAAGAGGAGATACACTTCAGTCATGGGGTCAGAAAAGGCTCCCTGTAGCCTCTTCAGTCTTGGCTGATTCCCCTCTATAAGTGAGAGAAAACAAAGATACAAATCACACACATAATGTTGATTTCAAGACTGCATAATATAGCATATATTTGGATATATATCTTACCTGTTGATTGGAAATAGCTGGCAAGTGGCTCGTACAATCTCAGAATGCGGGTCACACAGGTTTCAAGGCTCAACCACCGCACAGAGGCATGCTGTAGGACTTCCAGGTATTCTGACTCAAAGAGCTCACAAAACTCTGTTCAAAGGAAATATATTCCACAGTTGTATAAGACGCATATTACCAGTTAACTACTTACATTTTAGTTTGTATAATTTGTGTAGAACTGGCTGGAAAGTTGATACCTGCCAGAAATCCCTTGCGGTTGGTGCTTCCTTTAAACCAAAAGCCCACATCAACCACAACGTCCTCCAGATCAAAATGTGACACCTGCAATTAAACATTTTTTGTAACTGTATCCCCTGTACATCACCTAAATATTTAACATATATTCAACATACACTTACCTCAGTAAAGGTAAGACCTGCTCGCTTTGCAGTGTTGTGTAAAATATGACACGGGCAACCATGTACATAAACACTGTGGTTGTTTTGCAGAACTCTTGATGCGATTAAATTGTGTTGTCCGATGTTCACGGCTGCATTGTCTACAGAGAGACCAATACAGTTGCACCATGGAATCTTGTGGTTTTGTAAGGTGGCATCAATCTTTTGGAAGATTAGCTCTGCTGTACCAGATCTGGTTCCACTTGTGGTGCACATATCTAGGAACCGATGTGCCACCCTATTCACATCAAACACACGCACAGTAAGGGGGTTCATCTTTTCTCTTCCTGCATTGACAAAGAAATTAGCACATTGTCTTAGGGAACATCAAATAAATATATATCTCATACTTAAAAAATATGGCTAGAATAAAAAAGAAAAATAATGTTGTTCATACCAGGATGTAAAGGTATTTAATTCCTACCTGTGTCATTTGAGCCATCTGTAATGATGGTGTATGGATTCTCCCTCATCAGCATCACCAGTGCGTTCTGGTAATGTGGCGCCAATACTTTGTTTATGAGGCAAGAGGTCTTGGTCCTTGCACATTTATAGTCCTGTGCAGTGGGTGAGTCTTTGAAGCACTCTTTCATGAGTGGCCCCAGATGATCTGTGACAGCCAGTGGTAGATTATGGTTTGCCAGCATCACCGCCATCTTTAATTCTGCCCTCCTTGTCTACAAGATACAGTTGGATTGGTGTTAGATTATGAAATATGTGAATGTACACAATGAATTCAGTTAATAGAGTATGCTAGTTCCAAAAAGGCAAAACTCTATTTAGGAAATTAGCTTATCATGTAGTGTCTTTATCATCCACTAAATAACCACAACACCACTGAGCATAACCAACCTTCACTTCTTGGACAGTCATTGCCCCAGCAGAAGGAAGTGGAACTGAGAATTGCTGAATTCCAGTGCTGGATTGCACTGCTTTCTGTTTTTCCTGATGGCATTTGCTGTTAACGTGCCTTGCAACATCGGCTATTCCCTGGTGACAGCAAGCATTTTCTACTCTGCATACAGAGCACCAGTAGTGGGTACTAAGTGTCCCCTTTGTAATGAATGGCCATTTATGTGACCATTCATTATTAAAAGAGCACCTATATGTTGCGGCACCGCCCTGGGCTCTGGTCTTTGTACCAGGTGTCCCCTCTTTCTCTGAGGGCTCATCTATCTGTGTCAACAGTAGTTCTTCCTCTTGTTCCTGTGGCCTATCTGCTCTCTCAGGGTCATAGGACTTCTTGGGGGCCTGGTTTGCCGCCCACATGGAAATAAGGGTCCTTTTCTTCCCTGCAGCTGTCCCTGACACTTTAGAAAACATCCTATAACAAACAGCAAACATTTATTTATCAACTATAAGAAAAATATTTTCCGGTATTAATAAATTCTTTATTACAATTATTTGTTTTATTTAAAAAGAACAAAAGAAAGTATTGTACTTTACCTATGGTGCTAAAATATCTTATATTATATACATATATAAATGTTTGATAATATATTATATTATGTTATTTCAAGATGGAAAAATTATCTTTTTGATAATATATAATATATAAAAGCATATAATTAATATATGATTTTTGGATAATATATTATCAAATATAACAATCAAAACGAAATAAGTAGTAGTAATTATTAGGGCTATACTGGCACTTGTTAGCATTAACTTTAATTAATTAAAAAAGAACAAAAGAAAATATTTTTACTTTACCTGTGGCGCGAAAATATCTTATAATATATTCTCCTTACCTTCTCTTATTCTTCTCATCCTCCTTCTCCTTCGTCTTTGCTCAGACCCCCCGGTATACCCTCGTTACATCCAATCAGTGTGCAAATACCGTACAGCCAATCACAATGCGTGACGCTGTCCAGGTTGCTAGGCGGCAGTGCTACGGACCGCGGGTGTCAGGTGACGCAAACAGGAAGTCCTCCGTAAGCCTGACCGTCTCATTTCGTAGACCGCTCGGTTTGCTGTTCCTTCACTTTATTTTTATATTTATATACATTTGTTGTGAACGAAAACTTAGCGTGAGGAAAGGCATGTGTGGCGTGAGTGCGTGAGATATGTGTTAATTGCGTGACTCTCACGCTCAATGCGTGAGTGTTGGCAGCCCTGGTTCACGGCATGGTAGGCGACGATCGACACGATTGTCTGCTCAGTGAGTTCGTTCTTTGGCACAAATCACACCTCATAGATTACAGGAAGCAGCAGGGAGAGGGACACGCCCCCATCGCCATCAATGGGACTACGGTGGAGAGAGTCAGCAGCTTCAGGTTCCTCGGTGTCCACATCACTGAGGACCTGACATGGACTCATCACACTACGTACCACCATCACCAAAAAAGCTCGACAGCAGCTCTTCTTCCTCCGCAGGCTGAGGAGGTTCAACATGGACTCCAGGATACTCTGCAACTTCGACTACAGGTGCACCATAGAGAGCATCCTGACTGGCTGCATCACGGCCTGGTACGGCAGCTGCACCGCCCTCATTCGTACGGCTTTACAGAGGGTGGTGAAAACTGCACAGAGAACATCACCAGGACGGAGCTGCCATCCATGGAGGACCTTTACTCCCAGCGGCTCAGGAAGAAATCCCTCCAGATTATAAAAGACCCCCATCACCCCAGCCACAAACTGTTCTGTCTGCTGCTGTTCTGTCTGCTGCTGTTTGGCAGGCGCTACCGCAGCATCCGGACTAAAACCACCAGATTCAGAGACAGTTTCATACCACAGGCAATAAGACTGCTAAACAACTGAACTGCTGATACAACATCTGTTAAACACCTGAACTATGTTGAAACAACATCCATAACATTCATCTGCTACTTAGTAATTATTTATCTATTTATCTAATATATCATTACAATAACTTGCATATAGACTCTTATTGCACTATTTCACTTTTTTTAAACTATTTTTCTTTTTGTATTTACTATTTACTATTACTTGCACTATATTTGTCTATTTATCTGTGTTATTGTGTTGCACTGTTGGAGAAGCCTACAAATGTAATCGGCATAACTACACTGTAGATATGTTTGTATGACAAAATAAAGAACCTTGAACCTTGAATTTGTTCGCTCCGTTTTTGTTTCACACAAGTTGTAACTTGTGGATCCGTATCATGCGGTAAGTGACCGCGTATCTCCCTCAACTCTCTCAGACCTGAATTCCAGCTGTGTCCATGGCTGGAAAATCCTGATGAACATGTTCAAGGTAAACAAAATGATTACAGTCCTCTAACACAGGGGTTCCCAACCCCCGGTCCGCGGACCGGTACCGGACCGCGGAGGTGTTACTGCCGGGCCGCAAAATAGCTGTGAGTTTATCGTAATATTTGCAGAATTATAAATATATAAAAATATTTTATCATAATATTTTTTCAAAAAGTGTTTAATTTTTGCACCTATGCCACTAGTCATATTATTTCATCCAGTAGCTAGTTAATCTTTCACCAGAAAACCGTTGAAAATGGCTTTTATGATGTTCCGAGGGATTCGGCGGCTCAGCCTAAGGTCTCAGCCTCTTGTGCGCACGAGCATGTTACCGGTGCGCCAAGTAGGAAGAGGAGCGCACAGGAGACAACCGTTTGATTGCAGACTGTTATGTTTATGTGGGGAAATGGTGATGCATACATTATTTGAGATATATTTCAAACTCGGACTTCATTTTAAGGACATGTCGGCCAGGGGTGGAGAGCTATTTGTTTAAGCACCGGATTGGCAAAACAGGAGAGTAAACCAGTCTGCCTTGATCTATGAATTAATCAAATCAAATCAAATCAGGTTTTATTTATATAGCACATTTAAAAGCGATGTTTGGTCGAGCCAAAGTGCTGTACATGTAATAAAAACACATTACTACAATCACAATAAAAGACAATAAATTACAACAGATATATATAAAAAATAAAATAAAAAAAACACAAGGAACAGTCAGGAGTCGTGCTCCGCTCTAACTAGAAGGCCAGGGAGAAGAAGTGTGTTTTTAGTGTAGATTTAAAAAACCCTAGGGTCTGGGCTGACCTCACATGGAGGGGCAGAGTGTTCCAGAGCCTAGGGCCAGCTGCTGCGAAGGCTCGGTGCCCTCGGGTTTTAAGCCTGGTCTTGGGCACTACCAGCAGCAGCTGGTCAGCAGACCTTAAAGCTCTGGCTGGGGTGTAGCGCTGGAGGAGTTCAGCTATATAGGCCGGAGCCAGCCCATTTAGTGCTTTAAAAACAAATAAAAGGATATTAAAATCAATTCGGAACCGAACTGGAAGCCAGTGTAGTGAGGCCAGAATAGGGGTGATGTGGTCACGCTTTTTGTGGCCAGTCAGCAAACGTGCAGCTGCGTTTTGGACTAGCTGCAGGCGTTTAATTGAGGCCTGGTCCATACCCACATACAGAGCGTTGCAATAGTCCAGTCTCGAGGTTACAAAGGCGTTAATAACCCTTTCTAAGTCATTAAAAGATAAATACGACTTGGTTTTGGGCAATAGTCTTATTTAAAAAAAGCAGGATTTGACTACGGTGCTGACCTGCTTGTCGAATTTAAAAGTGTTAGTGAAGGTCACTCCAAGGTTCATGACCGAGGGGAGGATGTTTTTTTTGAGAGAGCCCAGAATATCAACCGGAGAGGCTGGAGGTTGGGGTCCAAAAAAGATGACCTCAGTCTTGCTCTCGTTGAGGTTGAGAACGTTTTTGCTCAGCCAGGATTTTATCTCTGTTAAGCAGTCCATCAGCTGCTGTAGTGAGTGTTTGACATTTGCTTTGAGAGGCAGATAGATCTGTACATCGTCGGCGTAGCAGTGGAAGGGAAAATTATGTTTTGTGAGAATTGAACCTAGGGGCAGTATGTACAGTAGAAAAAGGATGGGGCCCAGAATCGAGCCTTGGGGAACCCCACAGGTAAGAGGGGCTTTGGCAGAGGAGAAGGCACCTAGCTGTACCGAGAAGTTACGGTCTGTCAGGTAGGACCTGAACCAAGCAAGGGCAGAGCCTGTGATGCCAGCGGACTGTTCAAGCCGTGACAGCAGGATGCTATGGTCCACAGTGTCGAAGGCAGCTGTCAGGTCTAACAGCACCAAGACAGCTGGGCTACCTGAGTCAGCGGCTAGGAGCAGATAATTAAAAACTCTTAAAAGGGCTGTTTCAGTGCTGTGCATGGGTTTGAAGCCAGACTGAAACTTTTCATGGATTCCATGGATGGTTAAAAAAGATTGCAGCTGGGCGTAGACTACTCGCTCCAGGGCTTTTGATAAAAAAAGGTAGCTGGGAGATGGGCCTAAAATTTGCGAGAATGGAGGGGTCGAGATTTTTCTTTTTAAGTAGTGGCTTAACCACGGCATGTTTGAAGGCAGCTGGGACACATCCTGAGCTAAGAGAGGTGTTTAAAAGTAATAAAATACTTGCTCCAACTGAATCAAAAACATCACTGAGAAGGCGAGAGGGAATGCTGTCTGAGGTGCAGTTTGTCGGCCGCAGGTGCTTGACTACATCCGAGAGAGAAGAGAGGGATACAGGCTCAAAGTGGTCGAGGACAGCAGGGCACAGAAAAGGAGCAGGATCTGGGGTAGCACTAGTGTGGGCTAGCCTAAGAGCAGATACTTTTTCAATAAAAAATGTAAGAAACTTATCACAGAGAGTAGTCGATGGGACAATAGAAGAAACAT